ATTGGTGTTCCCAGCCCAAGGTCGACGAGCTTCGTGGCAAGTTTCGAGGGGATGATGGTGTTGTGGACGTGGATGTGGACGTTTGTGCAACCTTCCAAGGATGCCTTTTCACACTATCACCCTCTGACCCTCTACCAAACTGGTCATGCTTGATGATGTCGCAGGCAGACTCTTTCATGCCTGTCACACATGCTCAGTGTTTCATATGTGAAGTGAACGGGCAGTTCTGGTGACTCCATGGTGCTGGGGTCCGGGCACAGAAGCCCTATGCCTCTTCATGGAGTATACACAAACAATCTTTTAGAACAGCGGTCCTCAACCCCGGGCCTCGGACCGGTACCGGTCCGTGAGTCGTTTGGAACAGGGCCGCGAGAGTTGAGGCTCAGGTGTGAAATGTCTGGTTTTCAGGGTTTTTATCGGTTTTCAGCGTTATTTTGTTATCGTTTTTATCGTTTACTCGGTTTTCCTGGGTCTTTTCACGTGTGTTATGAATAAATTTCTTTTTTTCGGTACCGGTACTAGTTTTGTTGTATTTATCCGCGACACCTTAAAGGCCGGTCCATGAAAATGTTGTCGGGCATAAACCGGTCCGTGGCGCAAAAAAGGTTGGAGACCGCTGATTTAGAACACCCCACCCTCCAGTTATTTATTGCAATTCAAGTCGTTCAAGTCCACTGATAGCTTAAAATGGTACAAAGGTAAGTGGTGAACTGCCAGAGGTTAAAAGAAGGTAATGTTACCCAAAATTGAAAATGTACATTTCAGAATTATACAAAAAAAAACTTTTTCAGGTAACACAAAATGGGATAACAATGTAAAGCTGTTCTGCAGCAGTGGAGTTTGATAAAGGCTTGAAGGCTGGTGCTACAAATTCGTGCAGGGGTTCCACATTTTCTGGATTACTTACAAACCCCCTCTGTCTGCATAAAACTGTGTGAAACACACTGCGGTACCTCGTGATCAGTTGAACAGTATTGTACTGCAGAAATTAGTGTGTTGCTACAGAACTGGCCAGAAAAAGGCAATTAACAATGGAAGAGAGACAAACCATCATAACACTTAGAAATGTAGGTCTTTCGTGCAGAGAAATTGCAAAGAAAGTCAACATGTCAATGAGTACAGTTTCCTTTACCATCAAAAGTCACTCAGAAACTGGGGCAAACTGACAGAGGAAGAGGTCTGGCAAACCCAAAACCACAAATGAATATGAGGACAGGTTTCTGAGAGTTAACAGCTTCCGTGACAGGCATCTTATCGAGCTGATTTGGGATGAACTGAACACGTTTATGGGAGCTTCAGCTGTTATATCTGCCAAAGGTGGCTCCTTTGATGAGTCAAAAGTTTAGAATACACTCTGGTTTATAAATTTATTCCATGATTTTTTCAGTCCAGTTGCTTATTTGTGCTATACTTTCATTTCAGAGTGCCATAAGACATTAAACTCCATAATTTTCAATTAAAAAATGGAAAGATTGGTGTAAGTAGCCCACTGGAGGTCATTTTGAAGAGATCTGGCAGTACACCTGTTCCTCCATGTACAAAGGAGCAGATACGTATCTGCTCCTTTTGAGATCCATTTGATCGATCTACAGGAGAAAGAACAAACCTTCCTGTGATAGCACATAAAAATCTGTAAATCCTTTTTTCCAATGATGCCTACCAGTGCAATAAAGCAGCAGGTTGTAGGAGGAAAATATGCTACTGTTGGGAAAGACGGAGGAGAAAAGGGGGAAGGTACGTTCAGTGGCAGAGAGTTTAAATATAGGAATATCGTGGATGGGTCGTGAGGTGGGAGTGAGTCTATTATAAGTAAGATTTGATGCGATCTCTCGCACATGCGCGGTGTGTAAGTAATATTAAAAAGTAAATGGTCCAATAATAAAATCATTTGAAGAGCGTTGCCGTCTTGAAAACTCAATTTCCCACGTCTCGCTGGCGTCCATTGAGAATGACGTAGGAGGCCATATAAATCGAACGTCTCAACGTTATGACGTCCTTCGTGGAGACGATTCCGTAACGATCGGTGAGTGGAAATAATCGGTGTAAGAATCCAAGTTAATCGTCTTAATATTAAATCAATCGAAAGTATCCGTAACATTTTCTTTCTGTTTGCAGCATTTCCTCGTCGACATGAGAGCTAAGGTTGGTGTTTTGTGTCTCTGTGTGGGATAAATACACTTCCCAGCGGGGCTACATTTGTTAGCTAGTGAGCAAGCTTGTGCAGGTTGACGGGTTAGCATAGCCGTCAGAATTTAAAGTCATGCTTAAGCAGATGTTGGCAGCTGCAGCCCATTATGAAATATTTTGGCCAATTTCTATGAATGTGTTATAGCTAATTGAACATTGTTTTTTTTTTTCCGTAGTGGCGAAAGAAGCGCATGCGCAGGTAAGAGTTATCGCTTTTGCATTCACACCCGTTTATATATTTACTTTTTTATAGCACCGGAAGTGTGACTGAACTTTGTGACGTCTTCTGTACAGGCTGAAGCGCAAAAGGAGAAAGATGAGGCAGAGGTCCAAGTGAACCGTGCTCTCCGCCATGGCTGTGACGTCACATGCCGACAACAACAACGGGACCGGTGAGCACAGCTGGAGACCCAGGACCCTCCCAAGTCAAGTCTGAGACCTGGAGCATCCACTTCTACCAGAGGCAGCAGCTGCTGGCTCAGGCTCGGAGCTGTGACTGAACATCTGCTGGACGACAGCTTTTCCTCTGGGACATTCTGAACTCTTTGTTCTCAACTCCTCAGCTTTTGTCATATGTTTTTGTTTATACTGTGATTAAAGGTTTTGGTTAAAAAAGAAGACTTGAATAATGTTCTTTCTATACAAGATGACCTCCTTACTAATGTTTCATACTTTGGAGCATTGCTTGTGCATTTTAAGGTTCGGGACCAGCTTAAGGGTGGGAACGAAGTGTGCTAGGTTCACATCTCCCCCCCCTTTTTATATAGACATTTTCCTTATTAGATTTTGCCAAATAGAAACCTTCAAACTGTGAGAACATTTTCTAAAAAAAAAAAAAAAAGCCTGTAGCTAAAATCCAGCCTGAACTTAACCATATAAGAATGGTGGGGGTTAAGATGATGTAGGTAAAAAGGTTATATATAGAAAGTGGTAAATATGTCTGTCATCACTCTTTAAAACCTGAGGATCCTGTATATATGTACTTTATGAATAACAAGACAACTGATCTAACAAAGATATTTGAATTTCATCTCCTCTAATTCTAATATTTTCATAAGTAAGACTGACAAAGAGAAATAAGTCACTTGCAGTTAGATATTAATATTCTCACTTAGTGGTTCTAAAGCTATGACATAAGAGAGGTGGCGCTCAGAATGCTGAATGGAAATGTATGGAAGATTTTGCAACAGTAAAGATAGGGATAGAAGTACAACTCAGGAATTTTTTAAAAAACCTTATTGAAGCAAAATAGATTTTAAACGACTCTGAAAGGCTTTTTAAAAGATGTGACACGTGACTGTACATGCACGTTTTACCCAGTGGCCACTGAAATAAGTGCCTGGGGATGTTTCAAGATGAGCAGGCCGTGCTTCTAGAATGACTTTCTTCTCAGTTTTGCAGTTCAGATCATGTGGCAGGTGCATATCTAGGGACCTGACTTGCTTACAGACAGGCCTGTAATGCAAAGCTACAGATAATTAAAATAGAAAGTAAATCATTTTAGATGCTGTCCATAAACCATGATTTAAGTGGGTGTGTGAATGTTTTAACCTTTGGACAAAGCTGACTCAAAGGACAAACTTGTAAAATATGTCTGTAATGTTTTTAACCTTGAAGCCGGTCCATTAATTCATTCTTTCCTTGGCTACAAGGTGAAGCATAATGAGGCCATTGCTGGAGAACGCAAATAACAACAGTATGGAGTAAATGTAATTGGAGAAGCACTCACTGCTTACAGTCCGGATCACAAAATTGTAGGGAGGTAAAGCTCTTTCCCCCAATAAAGATGAGATTTGACAACCATATTGATGAGCTTTGTTCTGAGTTTTTCCAAGGGTAGCCCTGGTAGCTGTATAAGCACGCCCACTCTTGATGCACACTCTGTCATTTTGTTTGTAACAGATCTGAAATATGACAGAAACCACTCAGCTCACAGTAGAGAAACAAGGTCTGCCCCCAGGAGGAGGAAGGAAATGAACATGTTTAGTGAGGTTGTGGGAAGCGAACAGGCAGTTTTCATTCTTTTAACAACTAAATTAAGAAGATAAAACATGTATGTGCAGTATCCTCATTAAAGATTCCTAAACCTTCTTTACAAATCTACAAATTATTATTAAAGATAATGACCTTAAAAATAAATGGCATCTTCTGTAATTAGGAAATTTCCTGTATAGGGGAAACTATTGATTACACAAGCTCGAATATTACTTGAACAACAACATGCAACATGCCTGTTCTTGGCAAAGCCAAATAGACGATCAGATGACATGTGTGCTGGCTTTAACTTTGACACTTCTTGCATTTCTCTGCCCACATCATTTCCTCACAGATCACTCAGCACCCTGTGACCACTATTTCTGCTTCTGCTGTAGAGAGAGCACTTTTTGGTTTTTGTCTTACGTTACCGAGATGCAAACATAACTTGTTTTCTTTAATGTGTTTGGACGACTTGAGGACATTTTGATGATTTTTACATTCAGCTGTATATACATAAACACTGTTTGAAACAAATAACATAGTTCACGGATGGCTCAAATATACTGTTATTGGCTGTTTCACTTTGCTGATTGATTACTTTTCAAATTCACGTATACATTTCACTTAGCGGTACATTACACCGTATATAATGAGTAAATACACAGGCCTACGAACATGAAATAAACACTCCTAAATACACATGCAGAAAAGAATGTTGTATGTGTGCGCTGAACATTGCTCTATGATTGCAGAGCATGCAATGCAAGCTGCTTTCAACACTGGAGTTGAGCAATTAAAAAAAAGTCTGAAACTATTTTGAACTTTGACACTCTGAATTTGTGCTTTGTATTTAGGAAAATAAAAATCTTTGGAGGGGAGAAGCAAGCAGGGTCTAAATATCAAGCTATAACATGCCAAAATAGAAATGTAAGCGATGATGGGTTTCTGGTTTGTGGTTATAAGAAAAGAAATTGTGGCTCTAATAAAACTCTGAGAATAACAAGCTTCATAAAACATGAGCTCCACATTTCGTGGACTCTCACAGTGAAATGTTGTTGCTTTATAGGACTTGGCTGTTTATTGACAGCGTGTTCTTCCTGTCTATGTACACAAAGGATCATCAAACCCGTAAAATCCCTCCAAGCAAATACTGATAGCTGGCTGTATCCAAGGCAACAAGGGGGCTATTTAAAACCTGCCCTGTTTTTCTAGCCATAAATGAAGCTATTAAGAAAAAAGGGAGTGGGAGTTGAAAAACACATGACATGAACATTTTATTATTAATTATTCTTATTCTTATTGTCTTGTTTTTTTAAACAGGTGCGTAATTATTACGCCAGAGTCAGATGGCGCAGATCCCTTAGGTGTCACGACTGTGCCTCCTGGACCCAGTCTGGAAAAAACAAACAAAAAATAAAAACAACAACAACAACACTTCCTGCAGCTGATACAGACTTGTCGATAAAGAAACTGAGCACGTGTTTATCAGTTGTTGGTGCCTTCATGATCATCTGTTAAAGCTGCTGCTGCATACTGCAGTGGGGATGAGCGCTTGCGCGAGCAGGAGGATTTATTCCGGTCATGCAAAGAAAGATAACGGGGTGAGCAGCCTGTGCATTAGACATACTACTGTGCTCTGGTAGTAGCGTGTCGTTTGGATTAACTGCTACTCTCAATCAAAAGTGTCCCGTGGTGTCTTCCTACACGATAATCATTCGTTCGCTTTGCGTATCGGTAATACGCTCCGCCTGAGCAGTGCATGACGCTACAAGTAAATTCTAGGGTCTGGGTTTCTACTGGATGTGAAGGAGGGCTTGAAGCCAAGCCCGCCCTCTCGAGACGTAGTTCGTGCTTGAACTGCCTTCTCAAGAGCTTTACACGTAAATGCAAGACGGAATAACCCTCAGTGCCCTGCGGAACTGCGCGGTGCACGTCGAAGAAAAGTGACCATGAAGTGACAATCCGACGCTCGCCGATTATCACCGACCTGTCCATGGTTATCGCGGTGAAACGGTAGTGAGTGTTCCCCATCCCTTGCCACTCAAGAAGAAGACGCAGAAGCCGAAAAGCTGAAGACCAGAACGAGCTAGTGAAGTCGGATCTTGCCATGCCAACCGCGGATGCAGAGCCGGGCATCGGCACGGAGCCTCTAGCCCCGGTCTCAGAGAACCAACCCCAGGGTGAACGCGCAGTGAGTGTGCTGTGGTCGTTTGGGAAATGCCTGGGTGCTCTGCTACCAGTGTACCTGGCCGGATATTACGGCCTCAGCGTCAGCATTGTTCTATTCGGTCTGGTGATCTACATGGGATGGAAACACGGGCGACAAGAGAAAGTGATGAGGCTCAAGTCTGCTATGTACCTCCTGGACAACGAGAGGGAATTCACCACTCAAACGGTTTTCAGAGCCAAAAGAGATTTGCCTCCCTGGGTGAGTACTGACACCCCCTCTGTTAGGGTCATTCTCTGCAGAGTGCATCACGCGCCACATCTGCCACAAATGTCAGGCTGATACTTCTGGCAATATTATTCATTTTTATAGTTCTTCAAGTGAAAACACGAAGTCAGGTCG